ACCAGAACTCCAGACCCAGAAACCATGAAATTCATAATTTTGGAAGAGGCACAATTCTTCATTATAACCATGCACTGTCAGTCCGTTAGCTGTTAGCTAAAAACCCAAGACAAAAGATTTTTTTACAGAATGAAAGAGTTTATACTTTATCACTACAGAGTCAATATAGCCCCAGAACTTCTGACCCTGGTCAATTTTTTTTTATTTTGAAAGAGGTACCTTTGCTTGTCATAATTATGCACGCACTTGGTTTTTCTGTTTACGGGGGAGGGAGAGAAAGAGAGAGAGAGAAGAATTATTCATTAATTCATATATTTTCACTATTGGATCGAAAGAGCCCAACCCTGATATATATATATATATATATATATATATATATATATATATATATATATATATATATATATATATATATATATATATATATATATATATAAATATTGAAATATTAATATTTGCGAATAGTAAACGTGATAACAGGGGTCCAGCATGAAGGTACAAATGTCTAAAAATGATTAAAAATAATCTCTGTATCCTTCAGCATTGTTATACCTAAAAAAAAAAATGTTTCCTTTATTTTAAATCAATACGTAACATAAGTCTAACATTTCCATATTTTCTGAGCGGTCAAAAAAAAGGTAGACTACTGTGTAAGATATTGGACCTGTCGATGGGATATTGGACCGCTATGACATTTTTTACGTCACACTGAAGGCAAGCTATATCTTATTAACGAAGCCAGCAGAATTAGTAAAAGGTATTTAACAAAACATTTATTGACAGTGTTCTTGGGCAAAATTGATTTTGTCGACCTCTCGAACCGAACTGTTCTTGGATCCGCAAAACGCAAGTTGCCCTCGAATCTAGTTAATAGATGTATACTTTAATTTACTCTCTGAACAGATTGCTGAGTGATGAGACCATGACCTCAACCTCCAGCGTGATAGAACTTAGCAACAGTCAACATAACTTAATGACGGGAGATATGCGCTCTGCCTGGTTATAGAGGCTGGTTACGAGATCCAAAAAAGCATACATATTATACCTCCATCACGTGACAAAAATTCAGGGCATTAGCACATCGAAAGTCTGATTGAAATGAAAATATGTGATACGTGAATTTTATCACTCACCTTAAATAATTTCTAAAAGGTTCGTATAAAAATAATTAATAATAAATTGACGTACATGTATGACCTTTGCATGTTATCTCGTGTTTAGAAATGCTTACTGAAACAGCTTTTAATAGGATAAAGTCGTTTGATATATAGAATGTTTGGGTTCCGTAAAGTTATATAAAAAATGAAATGTCTTGTCTTAACATATATTTAATGAGAGTTTACAGGGAAGACGTGTGTAGCCTAGAGGTTACCTTTATGTGAAAATGTGACTCTTGCCTCCTCTAAAGGACAGAACTCGGGCTAATTGTGTTATACAGGCGAATTACAAAAAAAAAGTTTCCCAAGAAAGTTTAAAGTCTTAAGTTTAAAGAAACTAAGCACAGTTTGGCTCTGCTACGGGGGATGTTCGGACATTATTGAGATTTTTTAGTTTAATTCCCAGGCGTGGATCCAGTATTTTAGAAGGGTGCTATTAGATGGCAAGAGGCAACAGTACTGCCAAGGTCCCCCAGTGAGTCAAGGACAGTATCCGGTTGGAGGCCTGGGGACAAAGCTCTCTAAACTCTAGAGAATCTACAATTTGGAGAAATTCATTTTAGCACATAAATGACTGTAATTTTGACTTTATCACATCAATGTATGACAGTAAAAATTATAGGCCCCTATCTGAAACTCTTTCTTTTAATTTTCAATTTTTTTTATCAAACAAATAATTATAATAATAATAAATAAATAACAGTAATAAAAAAATTAATTAAAAAAATAAATCAAAATTCTGTCCGACTTCTCTTCATCTAATATTCATTAGTTACACTGTACTTAAATGAAATCGTGTTCTCTTACATTAATCATTAGCAAATCTAAAGCTCTGTAGTGTCTTATTTGCAACCAAAACAATATTCAAACTTTCTCCGAAGAACAAAATAACATTTTTAAAAATCACATAAAACTGGATGCTATCAGTAATCAGTAATACCCACACATTTACGCACTCTTCTTGGTACTTGGATCACAAGCAAAGAAGCCTCAATAGATTTTTCCCCTGTGATTTACCAATTTCAGCATAAAAAGCTGAGGTGAGCAGATCACTTATGGACCTCTCATGTCAGTACTAAATTAATACCAGTCTGAAATTTAAGAATTCAACGAAACATTGAAAAGGTTTCTGTGTTGAAAGAAGAGATTTTAAATTTTCGATCCGTCCTACTGGATGAAAATGACAATTCCAAAACCTTATTATACATGCATAAAAAGGACATCACATATATTCATAATCAATAATACTCTGAAAATGATTTAACTATATAGCTACTGTTTAAAATTTAAGTTCTCGGAACCAGGTTTTGGAATAAAAATGTCTTTTTCGACTTTCTTCCCTAGGATGAAGATGAAAATTCAGAAACCTTATTGCACATCCAAAAGACTCCACAAATCATATTCCAAAAGATGATTTGTCTACTGTTTAAAATATAAAAGGCGTTTCGGAAAAACGTTCCTTTTCCCCCTAATTGTCCTCAAGGATGCATCTACACGACATTCATCACCAACCATACCCCAAAAGATATGGCTACAGCGATAAAGGTAAAAGAAGTTCTGGGAACTAGGTTTACGTATTTTTTTTAACCCCCATTATCCCCAGGGTTAAAATAAAAACTCCGAAACATTATTGGACATTTACAGGAAACCACCAATCATATTCCAAGATAAGAGGAGTTATAGGAACCAAGGTTACGTAGAAAAACGTATTGACCCCGAGGATAAAGACGAAAAGTTCGAAACCTTATTGTACATCTACAGGAAACCACCAATAATATTAAAAAAAATGATTTGGCTACTGAGTAAAATATAAGAGAAGTTTTAGGTATTAAGCCCAGAGATCATTAAAACAGACCATGTAAAAATTTCAAACATCTGTAAGATGGTTATTACTTGTGAACCGAAATTCATTTACAAACAGGAGCTTGATGGTGCAGTGTTAAATATTTGCAATTTGGACCCTTTGACTTCAATTTAAACATTTCAGAACAATATACAGATTTTGACTAAGCTTAAAAAATAGGTAATCAGAGATTACAGAGCTCACCTTGATCAACAAATGTTGTGTTTAAGTAAGGCAAAGTTTCATACTAAACTAATAATCTAGTAGTGTGCATCCCTAGATGTAACATTTATTCAATTTTGTTCTGATAGGGCTTGTAGTTGCTTGGAATGGACTAATCCAAAAACTTTAAACTAGTCACTAGCCAGAAAATGTAAGTTAAATCCAGCATCAGAAGCAAGTTTGAGAGTGTTCATCCCGTGATGCATCATCCATGCAAGTTTGGTTCAGAGAGCCCTTATAGTTTCTTGGGTAATGGACCTGCTTCAAAAACTTTAACCTGGTCACTCATCCGGAAAATGTAAGTCAGATCCAGCATCCAATGCAAGTCCAGAAGTGTGCAACCCTAGATGTGTCATCCATGCAAGTTTGGTCAACATAAGGCTTATACATGTAATAAATAAATTGGAAAAAGACCTGAATTTTATTTTGAATAGACTGCAGTTGCAGGTGACACTATGAATCTTTTGTCTGCACTTTACATACATATCTATCATAAAATTGATCGGCATTATCACGTGACAAAGATCCATGGTATAAGCACGTGAAGTTTGTACGCCCTTTTTGTGAGCATTCAGACATTGATAATCAATTATTTTCAACATTTGTTGCATTTGTCCTTGAATCAAATAATTTGATGATAATACATTCCTATCCTTTATCTCAGTCCGATTGTCATATCAATGAATTTATTTCTAGAGATAAATATTTAAAAATTGGTAACTGAAAATTATTAAGTGTAAAAAAAATACACAGAAAAGTAAAGCAATTGTAAAAATGTATCGTATACTTTTTCTACTTGGATTTTTTTGAAGCCTTTCTTGTGGAAATACTTTAAAACAAGAGATGTTAGTGAAACACTTATGCCAGCCCCCCCCCCCCCCCCCCCCCCCGGCCAAATAATTGGAATTTCCAAGAGGCAAAACTCTGTCAAAAATTGCTCGATCGTACCCAAAACAAAACTTGACCTCGACATTGTTATAATTCTGTATACCAAATTTCATTTCAGCATGTGCAACCTCTGCGAAGAAAATGAACCGAAACTGCAAATATAGTCAAAGGGGCATAACTCTGTCAAAAATCGCTCGATCTTACCCAAAACAGAACTAGACCTAGATATTCTTTCGATAAATCCGTACTCTAAATTTCATTTCAGTATGTGCAACCTCTGCGAAGTAAATGAACAGAAACTGCAAATAATTGGAATTTTATAAGTCCAAGAGGCATAACTCTGTCAAACTTTGCTTGATCGTACCAAAACAGAACTTGACCTAGATAATCTGTATACAGAATTTCATTTCAGTACATGCAACCTCTGTGAAGAAAATGAACGGAAACTGCGAATAATTGGAATTTTCTCAAGACACAACCAATCATATTCTTAAAGATGAATTAATGGTTACTTCTTCAAATGTAAGAGAACAGAGGAAGAATTTAGTGTGACAGATGGACAATGATAATAAAATATACCCAAAAGTTCTCTACAAAGTACTGGTGTATCATGTTGAGGGTCTTGCAAGGCTTTGATTTATCAAACTAAAACATTTATGCAATCGTGGACTGTAAACTACCTAAATAGGCAAAATTGTTAACGCACTACTCATCAATACTGCCCTGAATTATAATGGACGTGCGTGGTCTAGTCCTATCTATCTCACTATGCCACCCTTACCTTCCTAATAAACTTATTTTTCCTTTCCTTTATTTTCATTAAACACATCATCTTTAAAGGATGTCCTTTCCAATATGATTGCCAATAAATAATAAAGAAGTGAAATTGATAACATTTTCCCAACATTTATTCTGTACACAATGGCATTAGGCACAAATGGAGGGTAAAAATGCGCAAGTTTCTGATTTACAGATGAGAAAATGACTCAAACGTTTCATTCAGTACTACTAGGTAACAATTGTAATAAAATCTTCTATGACATTGTTTTTGTACTCATAACATTCTTCAGTAGAGACTCTACATTATCTATTAATATACTTTTTAAGCACACATACAATCATTTAAATGTGAACAATCTTACATGGAACATTGAAAGTTTTAGAGAAATAACAGACCACTAAAAATGTATGAGGTGGTTTACAAACATCTTCACATTCAATGAAGGAGTTCTCCTTCATACAATGGCATACTGATTGTAGAGAATCTGTCGGATTTTAAAGAAGTCTTCACATATTGTCCCTTCAAGCTGTATCCTTCCTGCTTCATTCTGTAATTTAATTCATAAGTGAATTACAAAAGATAGACAATAAATAATGCATTATTTGGTCAGTTCCTTCACCTGTGACAGTACAAGACAAAGATACTTTTTACCCAGCTTCTGGATAGTGCATAACTTTCTCTACCTATCTTTTTACTGGGTAGTATTTTTTTTCAGTAAAAATCTTACATTTTGTACATTACCAAATTAATATCTCTTACAAATGTGGATTATAACTCAGTCAGATGAAGTACAAACACCCACCCTTCTGACCGCTACATTATTGTTACAGATAAGCACTCCAGCAATGAATTCAGCCTGTATTCCCTCCTGTAACAACACAAGCTTGAAGTCTGAGAGCTTTGGTTCATTGATAAACACAGCTTTATGTCCTAAAAACTGATTGTGTGGCAGAGCCTCTAGTGTTGGTACCACCTCCATAGGATCCTCCTCTCCATCCATAGTGCCATCTTAACAAAAAAAAAATATAGATACAGAGCCATGAGAAGAGATTATGTGTCGTAATTATAACATCAATAGAAATGAAATGAATAGAAACATTGGAAATTTTGTTATTGTTAGAGGAGGCTAACAAAAAAAGAAGAAATCATATCTGATAATAACAATGTCAGAATAACCTCTTTAAAGACAGAATAAAAACAGGTCAAGTCTATACTTCTAGAAGTATAAACCACCTGATTGAGGGAAAATGCATATACATGTGAAGCCAGAATTGTTTGTCAAAAAGATACTACCATCTGATTGAGGGAGAATTAGGCCTAGAGATACACATAGATACTGAATTGTGTGTCACAAAGACACTACCATCTGACTGAGGAAAAAAATAGATACAGGACACTGTCATCTAACTGAGGGAAATTGCAGATACATGTGAAGCCAGAATTGTGTGTCACAAAGACACTACCATCTGATTGAGGGAGAATTAGGCCTAGAGATACATGTAAAAGCAGAATTGTGTGTCACAAAGACATCCATCAGATGACAAAATATACAATAGGCTGAATGAATTAAGACATTGAGAACAAAAATTATTACTGACAAAAAAGAATTTAGTGAGACAAGTTTACAGAAAAATTTAAGTTAAATTAGACAGTAAATTGAAATGGAGTCTTACAATTTCATAAATATAATGCCTTTACTGGAAAAGGAAAAAGATAACTAACTCCTACTGTATCAGAATATAAAAAAAAACAAGTTGTTTCTCTTGTTAAAGATTGAGACATTTTGTGCATTATATTTAATAACAGAAAATTTTTAATGTTCCCTACATTATAAATCTTCATATACTGGAATTGAACCATACTTTTTTTTTCTTAAATGGACTTATTTGAAACCAATGAAATAAACACAAATTTGAGACACATTCTCCCATGGATTTTGAGGTGTGTAAACCATGAAAAGCTTCTGCAGACCTTGTCGAATTTTCCGAGATTTTTCATCAGTGACCTCCCCTTCTTCTGCCTCATACATGGCCCCTGTGTCCACTTTACCCTGACTCATATCTAACACACCATCAATCCACGCCAGCTCAGTCTCCTTGGCTTTGGCAAATTCCAAGGCAGACACCACATAGTCTCTTAGTCTCACCTAAAATTAACAATTTTAAGGTTCTGTATAAAGAAATCTGTGGTTTTTTAGGCAGTTTTGGATAAAAAGAAAAGTATCACTACAGTTATCATTACAATGTCAACACCTTATATTCTAGGAAGATCAACATTCTTCCCATTACTACTAGATGCTTCATCACTCCCACATAGTGATCATTCAGTTTCACTGAAACTTGTATTTCCAACACTCCTTCCACAAAAGACAAATGGATGCCTTAGTGAACTGAATTGCAATTAGCAGTTATACATTTCAGGGAAAAACTCAAGTATGATAAAAGGAGCAGTTTATATCCCCATCTTATTTTCTGTGGTTAAAATATTGTAGAACAGCTTGAGGAAATTCCAAATTATGTAGAGGGAGAAACAGCTTCCAAGATATATGTACGTAGGAGTTTCACTGTACTCTCATTCCTCAAATTTTCAAAACACTTTTCTTTGCCTTGACCCTGCCTTCTGATAATTTAAAAATTATGAAACAAGAAGTTGAAAAAGGTGAGAAACTAGCATGGTTGATGGAAACCATATATTAATGTATAAGATGATTTTTGTATATTTTCCTACCTGGAAGATGTGACTTTCCCTTGTGACATCCACCACTTCCCCAATATGTGGAAGGAAGATCTTGCTCTGCACAACTTCATTCTTTCTACAGTATTCTGCTAAAGCTTCCGTGGCCTCTGTAGTGCCCCGCACCAAAATCTGCCAAAGTTGAATATTGGAAATACATTTCAAAATAACATGAAATGGTTTTAAGGAAAATAATGAGCTAGAATAAAAAAAACCCAATATATACATGTTCAATTTATAGATCTATTTTTATTTTTAAACATTTTGCTTCTTGAAAAAATTTTTTTTGTTCCAAATAATTTTTTTTTGGTTGACTTTTCCTATATAACACCATGTAAAATTTTGATCCCCAACTGTGGCCCCACCCCACCCAGGGGACCATGACATGAACATACTTAAATCTGCACAATGTCAAAAAGCTAATATAAGTTTCATTTTTTCTTGAGGAGATTTTAAAATAGTCACCATATTTTCAGCAATTCTTAACTATCTTCCCTTGAAAGAGTGTGTGGCTCTTCATTTGAAAAAACTTGAATCTCTTCACTCAAGGACGGTTTGTGCCGCTTCGGTTGAAATTGGCCTAGTGGTTCTTGAGAATAAAAGTTTGCAGATGTATGGACAAATGTATATACAGAGCAACAGAGGACAAAATATGTTCAGAAAAGCTCACTGGAGCTTTCAGCTCAGGTGAGCTAAAAAGTGCTTGGTCATGTCCTTGAAAATCAGTAATTCACTATCATGAAACTGGTTCATTCGATGAAACACCTATTTTCACAAACATGTATTAAATGGTGTTGCACACTAATGACTAGATTTTTCTCTTACCACAATGTATGATAATATAAACAACAATCAAAAATATGTTATGTTTGCTAAGTTCAAGTACAGTCAAACCTCGTTATCTCAAACTTGTTGGGACTGAGAAAAAACTTTGAGATATCCAAGGGTTTGAGATATCGAGTGTAAAACACTTAAGAAATATGTGATAAGGACTTTCCAATCACTTCGACATATCCAAGGTATTCGAGATATTTTTTGAGATACCGAAGTTCAACTGTATATCATGTAAGGCTAATATTTGCTGAATTTTCTTCTATGTAATTCTTAATCAAAAGCCTGAATAACATCATTAATATCAAACATGGAAAAACAATTTAAACAGAAAGGTATGTTTAAATTAATTATAAAATTAAACTTTTAAACAAAATATCACAATTACAGTTGCATGCCTTTTGCTATGGTCCAATTTGAACAGGGAACAAATTAACCAGACACCTTCTAACTTATAAACAAACAAACAAGGTCATACGCAACATACATGTACTTTACAATGTTCCTTTCCCACTGATAATTTTCCAAGTTATTCTTTTTTTAAAATCATAGTGTAATCTCAGATATTCTTATATTAAAAAAAATCAGCAAACATTACCAGGAGTTTTGAATAGATATCAAATGATGAAAATCCTTGTGTTTTATAGAAAAAATAAACAAAAATATTAAGATTAGCTGGTATTTCCTCAAACTTTGATTTGGTGGAGGTGAACAGCATTACCAGCCATCAGAAAATCACACAACTCAAATTATGCAGAGAAAGGAAATTAAAGTTCAAAACTATGTTCTGTAGCCTTCACACATTTCTTTTTAGTCACTTGAAGAACTTGTAAGCATTCATTTGAATATTATTCAATTAATCAAAATTTATGAATTGTTTCTTTTCCCAAATAATTTTTACCTTACACAGCATTTTCAGTGAAAACACCTTCAATAGCTGCATGTTTGCATGCTGATATCTTTGAAATTCATTCACAGCAACTATCAATATACACTATAGCCCCATTTTTTCCCTTTGTTAGAATAAACTCATGCAACATCAGCATTTTGTAATTAAATAAACTGTACATGTAGGTGTAATTGGTGCAAATTTATTTTCATGTCAACATTTTACTTTCCTTTGCAGAGGCACCTTTGGTTATGTAAAGTTTTGTATTTTTGGTTTGACAATCCCCTAGAAGGCTTTAAAGCTTTGCCTGTCACCATAAAAATTCCCAGAAGCTAGCTTAATTCCTTTGTATTTCACTTATCTAAGTCATTTAATTCATGCACTAAATAGAAGTCTCTCTTGAGACTGTATCTTCACTTCATGGAACTTAACAGAATCTAGAAGAAAAGCCACAGTGTACTTGGAATTAAAACATTTCTTGTATTTATTAGTTTGACAGTTCTTCAAAAAATGACACTTTTATTTTAAAGCAACAGAAATAAGCAGCAATTAAAATATTTTTGAAGTTATTTTGAATATTTCAGAATTATTTTTTTGTTATTGCTAGCTGATGCATTGTGTTCTGCAATAAAACTCGATAAAACATGGTAATTGTATCTTGATGAAGTGTACATTCATTTTGTAGCGTGATATTTCATTCTAATCAGACAGACTCTGCAAATCAAAGGCACCTTGGTGTCCCAACTCATCTCCACCTGGGACTGGAATGTCTGTACCCATGTGACAAGATAGTTTGATAGACTTTTTGTTCATTATATAAAGTTCTTTACATAAAGTTTGTTTCCAATATGCTCAGAAGTAAACTTAGCCCCACTATGACATGTATAAGGTCTTTATTATCTTGTTTCTGAATACACCATAAAAAGGCCTTTATTATTTTGTTTCTGAATACACCATAAAAAATTTAACAGACTTTAACTGAATTGATACAATGCAACAAAAGTACATGTAATCTCTACACAACAGTACTGTAAACCCAAGTGTTTGAAATAACTCTGGCCCAACCATACCAAATGCATAAATTTTGCAGCAGGTGAACAAATTTGCTTGTATTGATACCTGGCTGGGTGTGATAAAATTTCCACTAATTAAAAATTTACATTGATAATTCTACCTTTAATCAACTAATTGTACTGGTAGCAAAGCAAGTCAAATGGCAGCAGATCTTTTGCAGGGCTGACAATTTTTACTAGCAATCCACCCTGCATGTCTTAAACTAATTTTACTGTGACTTTCAAACACTGATTATACCCACCAGTTGCCTTGGTTTAATTTGCGAGAGGATTTTTTTAATGGATTCTCCATCAGAACGCCCCTCAAAGTCAATATACTGGATGTTTGCATTGATATCCAAGGTCACAGTGGCTGCCACACACTTTGTAGGTACCTCTGACAGATCTATAAGATTAAGAATAAAACACCATTAACCAATTTCTGCCAAGTAAAATTCAACATCACTGCTACCTGCTAATAGATTGTGGAAAATCACTTCTATCTCAGTGGTCTTTTTTAAATTGCTTGTAATGAATTACTAATGAAGTCATTTTCCTTCTTTGTACATGCAATTATTTTTTAATTAGGTGGTACCAATACTTTCAAGTTCATTGACACCAAAAACATTTCAAATAAACTAGTTTGTCTACAGCTGAGACAGCTGAAATTGGATTATATCAACAAGCAGACTGATAAATGAAGATTTTTCTGAAACAAACTTCCATGGAAAGGACTAGTTTTAAGGCCATTTTTACTTTAAGAACATTCATTAGCTTTTTTTTCTCTTTCTTTGAACATGGCTTAAGGGCATTAAACTAGAGATTTTTTATCTGATGATGTGCCATCATTATACACAATAACTGAACAGTAAGGGTTAACACTTGTCTTTTGTGCAATATTCTATGGAAGAAAGAAAAAGTTTAGTTTCATTACCAATACTTTTGATCCTGAAATGGTAGAAATCCACAAGACTTGCATACTTATGGCTTAAGCATAAAAGAAAAATTCATCTGTATTAAGACATGAACAATCAACTTAAAAAAAAACCATGAGGCCCCAACACTCACCTGAGTCAATACGGCCAAACTTTAACCTTGGCCATAATTTTTGAATGTTTGGTGCTATGGCTTTCATATTTCACTTTTGGTTTCTTATGACAAGACCTTCCCTTGGATACAGTTTTGACATTTTGTTCTTAACCTTGGAGTTTGACCTAGTTTTGAAAATTTTTAACCCTGACCATAACTTTTTAACAGCTGGTGCTAGGCCTTTCATATTTCATAGGTGTATTCCTTGTGACAAGACTTTTTGGGTACCAAAAATTTTGATCTTTTGAGCTTGGAGTTTAAATTGCATTTAAGAAACTTTGACCTTCGCCATAAGTTGCCATAGCGAGGCATCAGTATTTCACAAACATATCTTGTTTCCCATATATTTCTATGTAAAACACTGATCCCCCATTGTGGCCCCATCCTACCTCCTAGGGGGCATGATTTGAACAAACTTGAATCTACACTGCCTGAGGATGCTTTCATATTAATATAACTAATCACATACTGCAAACAAAGTATTATTCGGTCATTTTTTATTTGCGATTCACCAATCTGATTAATTTTCACTACTGAGGAAACATTCTCTACAAATACAAACAAAATAAATGGATTTATATTCATGAGTTAAAGTAGGTTGCGAAACTAGTGAATATTTCTCGCATGTGAATAAAAGTTGGTTTACAGTAGCTTTGCTGTTCTTGACAAGATTTTGTCCTAAATACTCCTATGTAAAACTTTGAACTTCCATTGTGGCACCCCCCCCCCTTTGGGTCATGATTTAAAAAAAAAAAATCTACCCTATATAACAAAAGTTTCAGCTTCTTTGGCCAAGTGATTCTTGAAAAGGTTTTTAAAAGATGCCACCAATTTTCAAGAATTCTTAATTATCTCCCCTTGAAGAGGGCATGTCCTTCATATTAGCAAATTCCCTTCATACAAGGATGCTTGAATGTGGCAAGTCTGGTTGATATTGGCCCAGTGGTTCTAGAGAAGAAGTCAAAATATGAAAAGTTTAAAGATGGACAGACAGACAGACAAACGGTTGATGGACAAAATGTGGTCAGAAAAGCTTTCAGCTCAGGTGAGCTAATAAACTTGAATCTACACTATGTAATAAAGGTTTCACATAAGTTTAAAGTTTTTTGGTGGTTCATGAGAAAAAGCTCACTCAAGCTTTAATCTCAGGTGAGCTAAAAAAAACCCAGGAGGTTTAGGTCATATGTTAGTCACATAGTAAATCTCTGGCATGTTTTGTTTGATCCATTATTTTCAACAATAACTGCATTTCACTTCCTGATCACCAAGCTAATTAAAAACAGAAGCCTTCTCATGTACAACAATAGTCCCTCTTTACTTCTGGTTTAATGGGGAAAATCCTTCACTTTTCTGAGAAACCCTAGTAAAATACAAGTGAAAATCATCTAGAAGATGTTGGAGAATACAATGAAAAACCGCCTTCCCACCAAATTATTTTAAGACAAAGATCCTGATTAAGGCCTAACAGTTGTCTTATTGTAGAACATTTCTTGAGGAAGAAGTGTCTGTTTCCTGGTGATTGCATTGCAAAAACCAACCATACAGATCCAGGGATTTATCAGTACCTTCTCAGGGGCCGAAATTTGGCCCCATTCCCAATTGAAAATGAGTTCAGTTTTTCCCAAATTGGCAGTATTTTTTCCCCAATTGGTGAACAATTCTTTTATATTTAATTATCTTGGAAAAACACAAGGAAAATTGTCAGATTGTCTGTAATTTTCATCTATTTAAGTCATTTAGCAAAGCTACAGTCATAACACATGTTTAAAAACACTGTAAAAACATTGCCAACTGTTAATCCGAATTTCCTCCGTTTTTCTGAAAATGGTGACATTGTGTAATTATATAGATTTATTAAGTTATTTCTACATACTCAATTGATCTACAAGTGAATGGTAAGGACTGTAGGCATTATTTCAAATAGAAAAATATATTTTCAATGCATTAATACATATTAAAAGAGGACTTTGAGAAAATATATACTTGCAGGAGGTTTATATTTTCCAGAAACATATTCTGTAATGACCATAATTGGAATCTCATACACACATGTACTACCCTAAGTTGTATAAACACTTTATACTCTTTGAAGTCAATTTTACTTTTATTAGTCTGTTATTCATAATTGATCTTGTATGAAGTTGGATCATATATAATTGTCTGTTTGGTTGCCCAAATTAGAGTTCATGCTGAAATATTAAATGAATTACACCTGAATACATGATTTAAGCAACATTTTTAATTTTTCCCAATTTCATCAAAAAGCCGATAATTTTTCCCAATTCCCCAAAAATGGCATTTCCCAAAATAGGCTGATAAATCCCTGAGATCAAAGCATGCATAAGCAGCAAAACCAAATATAAACATTTCCTCTTTATATTTACATTCTAAAGCTTTTTAAATTGTAACCACTGAATTCTGATTTCTTGTCTCATTTCCTCATCAATTACATCTATTCTTTATACTAGCTATGCTTAGTGGTATCATGCAATCTCAATTTCATTTGAAGGTAATCTAAATTTTACAGTAAAACTTGTTTAGTAAGAACACAGATATAGTGAATTTACAGATATAATGAAGTTTTTAGAGATCCCCAGCTAAATTCTTTCCAAATCCTTGTAAAAATTTACAGTTATAATGAACACGAATATAACAAATTTATGGCTATAGCGAATTGATTTTGTATCCTGTAGAAGTTCAAAATAATACAATAAACATCTTTAATAAAGAACTTTTAAGATCATAAAATTTAAAGTATTGAAGTGACATTATTTTTCACATGTACTTAAAAGTTTGAAATTAAATTTATTGAAAATTTTTAGTTCTCCTAGATATTTTTTTTGTATTTAATACTTCCCTGAACATATTTGGCAGTCATACATAAAGGAAACATGTGTATTGTGAATTAGATATATATAATTTAACGAATTCGTTATACGGATATAACAAATTACTGATATAGCGAAGTAAATTCAAAAGTTACCCAGGACTTCGCTATAACCGAGTTTTACTGTACCAGCATAGGTCATTATTGACAAAAGTAAATATTGAAGCATGAATATCTTTTACAAGGTTTCAATAATATATGGGCTAGATAATAAATCAAGGGCTACAATCATCTCCACTGTTCTGATATAACCAACAATAAAGGTGGTGTCAAGCCATAACCAAATTATAAGGTGAAGGATATCATAAAAGTATCAAAGAAAAATTCCACATCATTCATTGATGACACCCTCTTTTGTTTAATTACTGTAAAATCACATTTTAAAGATGCCAAATTTTCAAGGTTTGAGGAAAAAGTATTGGTTCAAGGGGATTTGATAACCTGGTGAAGAAATGTGGCATTGTTACAAATTCAAAATTTTACAGTCCATGGAGAACATGAATCTGTGGGTCTCTTCTTACTATGAAAACAATGAAAATTAAAACCCCCATTAGTGATCTCACAATATTATTGCAAGGGATAAAAAAAACTTTGTCTTTAAATTACTTTACCAAAAATGAATAAGTGTTGGTTTATCAAATGACTCCATGATTTATTAATTTGACACTACTACTATTTTCTGTCTATTTCCACTGTCTATATATATTGCCAGTAAAGTGGGCAACGGGTCTCACCACTCATCTGACTTTTGCCCATATGTTCTTCATCAGCAGCTTATTTTTAATTTTCCTCTTTCAATTCATAAAGATTTTGACTCCATATTATGGACCAAAATCTATCCCTATGGGAGCTAAGATTTATTTAAAGATGATTACACACAACATTGGGATGCTTTAATATTAATATGATCTACATAGCCCTGCTGTTCTGGAAATAATTTGAACAACCTTGAATCTACAGTATGTAATGAAGCTTTCATGTAAGTTTTATGTTTTCCGGCTCACTGCTTTTTGAGAAGATTTTGAATAGTTGTCATTTAATTTTCACTAAATTCTTAGTTATCTCCTTCAATGAAAGTATAACCCTTCATTTGAACAAACTTGAATCCCTTCATCTAAGTTCTGTAAATCATGTTTTATTTGCGAGAACTTTATTTTCACATAATTACGCTAGACCATCTTCTGGCAAAAATTTAATTCTTGCGTTTATTTGTATACGTAAAGATTATAATATAGAATAAAAATTAAATTTGCAAAAATTATGTTCCACTTATAAAAACCAAATGACAATCTCACGAAAATAAGGTCTTGCAAATATTTGTTGATCTACAGTATGCTTTGTGACAATTCTGGTTGAAACTGGCCCAGTGATTCTAGAGAAGAAGTCAAAAATGTAAGAAGTTGACAGACAAGAGGCATTCTTTGATCGGAAAAGCTCACTTGAGGATTTGGCTCAGGTGAGCTAAACATTTTATTTAAAGAAATACATATTGTAGGGTTGATAGTTACAATAGAAACAACATTCAAAAAAATAATACATAAGATTAACATCTACATGTAAGCTAAATTTTTTTGATACTGGATAAAAATTGTTGGAGGAGAACCATTTCGAAAGAATTCAAGAGATATTTTTACTTTTTCTTAACCATGGGAAATCTGTTTATCAAGGCCCATAGACCACAAATCTCAGTCAAGTCAATATGACCCTGCTCTTCTCTGTTGGGAGAATTTTTCTTCTAAATGTTCCTATGTAAAAATTTGATTCCCTGTTGTAACCTAGCCCTATACCTATAAGTGTCATGATTTGAACAAACTTGAATCTACACTACCTGAAGATACTTTCATATCAATATAACTAATCATGGCTTAAGAAGATTTAATAAAAAAAATTTTTCAATATTTCTTTGTAAAACTTTGATCCTCATGGTGGCCCCACCTTACACCCAGGGGTTATGATTTGAAATCTACAATACCTGAGGATTCTTCCATATCTATATGACTAATCATGACTTTGCTGTTCTTGAGATAAATTTTAAAGATTTTTCCCTGTATAAAACTTTGATCACCCATAGTGGCCCCACCCTATCCCTGAGCGTCATGATAAGAACAAACTTGAATCCACATTATGTAAGAGAGCTTTCACATAAGTTTCATATTTTCCAACCTATTGGTTCTTGAGGAGAAGATTTTTAAATTACCTCACCCAATTTTCACTCTCTCTTAATTATCTCTCCTTGGAAGAGGGTGTGACCCTTCATTTAAACATTTAAATCCCCCTAACCCAAGGATACTCTATGCCAAGTTTGGTTGAAATTGACCCAGTAGTTCTGGAGAAATGAAAATGCGATAACTTTATGACTGCTGCCGCCAACAGACAAAGGACAAATTTTGATTAGAAAAGCTTTGGGCTCAGGTGAGCTAAATACAATATAGAATTATGTATGTTGTTGAAGTCTTCTTGCTAAAAACTGTTAGAGGAACAGCATTAAAAAAAAAAGTTTACAAACAACAGAGGCAGATAGTTGGATAAATGACAAATGTATTTATAAGTCCTTCTGGTCTGTAACCAGTATATCTTATAGTAATTTGAAGATGCTTAAATGTTTTAAACAGGAAATACATATTTTTATGGCTGGCACAGTTATACATATTTTTATGACTGGCACAGTTATTCTTTGAACTTAAAAAGTAGGAGCCTTATACAAGCTCTGTGGACTACAAATATCCTGTCTGGACTTCCAAAGTGAACACATTTACAGAAAAACATCATTGTACATTTTATGGATGACAAGTGTGTGAACTTTTCCAGTCTAGATCAAGGTCATTAAAAAAGGAGCGAGCCTCACCTTGTACAGCACTATCCTGCTTCTTAACATTTTCCTGAAATGACATTGTACACATTACAATCACCAATGAAGCAAATGAGATGATGAAAATGCAAATCAAAACCCTCTGAAATGATATAGCACTTCAAGTGTCAACCATGCTTTATGACATTACATTTAATTATGTGTTATTTCCTATGTGTGGCAAAGAAAATTGCTCTCAATTAATACAAGAAAGACATTTTGAATGAACCTTAAATCCTTTAATGTTGTTACTGAATATTTTACAAGCATTTATTTTTCAATGAGTTCATTTTTATGTCATTAATGCTGGTTTGTGTTTGACAAGGACAGAAAATGAAAAAAAAATACTTGCATTTCTAAATTTCACTTTCGTAACAGAATCGATAAAACTACTTTTTGTGCTATATTGGTTTCAATGTTCTACTGTTTTAATATATCGACATGTGACCACCAGATATTACTGAATATGCCATACTGAAAAAAAGCATCCCTACTACACACCTCACTGGTTGCTTAATTTTAATACAGATTTATATATATTCATATACATTTTATTTTGTTGATAAAATTTCTTAAATGTGTCTTAAATGATCCTCTCAATTAAATTCAAACATCTCCATACCTAATACATGACATTCTTAAATAGAAAAAAAGGTAGTTTTTTTTATTGTATTACAAAACAAAACTGAAGGAATAAAATGCACTGTAACTTAATGTTCAATGAAATACATTACCTTAGACAGATAGCTTCAAAATATGGATTAAATTTAAAACTTTCAATTTTTTCTATTAACTTTCAATGTACGTAACTTTCATTTCATCTCATTTTTTATACATGTATGACTTTATACAAAATCTGAATGTGCCATTTCAACATCATATCTATCAACTGCTTGCATTACTTAATGTGTTTTAATATCCCATATGCCAATATATCACAAATCATGGGTTGTGAATCTAATATCTGCCCTGTATTTTCAATTTTCCAAGTGTCATGTGTACATAATGGGTCGTATATTTAAATTTTAACAAATGTCTTACTGCTGAACTCTCCTCATCAGCCTGAGGTACATCTAGAATGGTGTAGTCTTCTGGCCTACATAGAGAATGCACTCAAAATCATCAGTAAGTGTCTCATATGACCTTAATATTACAAGAATATAAACAACATTCTCAAAATTCAGTTAAACCTATTTATATAACTTAGCAAAATAATTTTTGTTGTCTTCAAACACTTTCACTTCTATATTATAACCAAGAGACTCTGAGGAGACTGTATATTGTAGCTCTACTGGTTCATACTAATAACAAGCACCTGTACTTGAAATTCTTTACATTTAATAGTCATTTACAGAATCATGTGTCTTAATGTACTTGTACAAAATTTCATTGAATCAAAACTTTAGAGGTGAAGCATTTTGTAAATTTTTTCAGTAATCATGGAAACAAAGTTTGTTGAAATCAAAACAATACATTGAAGTAAGTACTGTTGAACTTTGATATCTCAAACAAATACCGGGGGTATCTCATGGATATATGTCAAAGTTAGTTGGAAGTCCCAACCACCTTCCTTTATGTAGTTAAACCTCAATATCTTGAATCTTTGGACAACTTGAAATGTTACAATACTATAATTGAAATCAAAATCAATGTACAAAGGTTTGTATATCACGTACTCTACTTTTCTATTTGTATTGAAATCATGCAGACAAAAACTACAGGAAAGGTAGTGTTTTGATAAAAATTACTGAAATTATGTATTTTTAGAAGCTATCACAATACCATTCTTGCGCAGTTTTACTTTTCCGCGATGCGACACAGTTTTTCCGCAAAAAAAAAAAAATCCTGCTTTTCCGTGACAAGTTTTACTGCTTTTCCGCAATTATAATTTTAGCTTTTCTGCGACTTTTTTTTTTGTACCTCATCCTTTAGACAGGTAAAACCTGTTGCCCCCTGCTTACCATGGGGAGGTTGTAATCGTGGATTTTATCAATGCTGCATCGGTAGGACACATCCCCATTCCTTAAAATATTTCCTTTCTGTATGTAAATTCATCATAGATTATGCATTTGTTCCCCCGTTTCAAATTCCAAATTGTTTAAAACATCTAAAACCAATCACTGACCAGTGTGAAATGCGAGATTTATTCAATTTTTATCACTATGTAAGTACTCACTACATAGTAGAATTCTTTTGGGAAATACAGGTAAATATCAGCAACTGTTTAATATTAATTGCTAAGTGTGACCAATTAAAATCGCGGAAAGGAAGTATAAAAAAAGAAGATAACACATAACTTATAGTAAAAACCAATCGCAGAGAGTAGAGAGTACTGGCAGAAAAGCAACAATGTTCTTCTTAAAATAAAATTGCGAAAAAGCAGGTCAGCCCATTCTTGATATCAAAAACTGACATACCTTATTTTGCATCTTACAGTTGTCTACCTCATGGATCAAGTAATAATGAAATAGGACCAAAAAGGTCCTAGAAAGTCTAGCATATTGAAAGAATGATACTGAATTATTGAATTTTAATAACCATGACTTCAGAGTTTGTTGAAATCAAAAATTCATATATGGTAAATAATAGTGTTTCACTGTGTAGACTATTTGTTCACACTGAGTTTATTTGAAATAAACATCCAGAATCCGAAGTAAGTCTGATAGTGTGTATCCCTAGATGTATCATCAATGCAAGTTTGCTCTATAAAGGGATTTAAGGTAAACTGGAATGAACCTGCTCCAAAACCTTTAACTTGGTCACTCATCCAGAAATATAGGTCAAATCCAGCATCCAAAGCAAATCTTGTAGTTTGCATGTGAGCTAAAAATTGTTTATAGACAGACACTTCACCATCACAAAAGCTCATCTGGTATTAGACCAGTTGAGCAAAAATTACAGATATAATGAATGACTGATCATTGCACATAATGTACCAGCTAGTTCTTCTGCACATGATAACATAGTATCCCATACCTTATGATTTCTCCATAGTCATCCCATTTGAGTTTCTCCTCAGTAAAAGGAAACATTGGATAAGACTTCTTAGCTTGTTTGAAAAATCCTGTTCGACTTTTACCCTGAAAACAGCATGAATCAGTAAACTTTATTAGAATAAAGTATACATGTAATACTACATCCTGCAACCTCAACCACTCATCCCAAACATATGAAAGAGTCCAAAAATAGAAAGATTGAATAGTTTCTTTGAAACTGAGCTAAACGCAAAGTGTGATGAAAGGACAGACAGAAGGACAGAAGATGGACATGACAGACACTATTATGCCTCAGCCATATTCATGGTGGGGCATAAAAATTTGCTGTTTAAATCACTACTAATTTTCTAGAGGTGTTATATGTCTTAAAATATCCAATTTTTTGTATGTCAGTGACAAAATTGAACAAGCTCTTTTAATAAATTTGTGTGACCTTTTTGCACTTAAATTGGTATTTGTTGCCAATTGGTTTAAGAATGCATTGTCATGAGTCCCTTATATAGCTTGTAAAGTAACACCTCAAATTTTATTGTCATATATCTTCTGTGAAGATTATGGCTTAAATTTTTGCTGTGTAAATGATTATTTTGCCCCTAACAGTTTTTCTAATTGGTCTATGAAGACATTTTAAAATCCTCATCTAGGTCTAAAACATGTAGACAAAACCTGAAGCAATATTACACGTTGAAATTTACAACACATAGATAGTGAAATGAAATAGTTCATTTAAGATTTATTTGAATAAAAAGTCTGACATTTTTCAGCCTCAATATAATTTCCTGATCTTATTCTTTATAAGTTAGGGAAAAAGTCGCCATACCTGCATCTAATTGAAGGATAAAAAAATCATTATTATAAAAACACACAATGAAAACATATTAGGTGAACAAATATCTGATACCTTAGTATAATTATGATGTCACAAACTGTGACAACCACTGACTGTGCAGGAGGAATTCAATATAACCGTTACAAAAATAAACTGTTGTCAGCTCAGCAGACAGATAATTTACTTCTATAAGTGGTAATTCAATACAAGGGATTTGAATATTTCTGATAGTTCATTGCAAAGATAATGAGAAATGAGACTGGAGATTTAGTTTTACTTTGAAATAAGAGATATTTCAAAATAAGTGACTTCAATATAAGTATCAGGCAGTATTGTATTTTTAATTTAACTTGCATGTATCTCTTTATATTTCAGAATACCCAGAAACATATTTCACTTCAATATGAATTAAGGTCCAAACATTTATATTTTAGTACATGTATAATATTTCATATCAAAGCATTAATTTGCAAGATATTTCATGAACTTCTGGAAAAATGTAAACGTTTGAGAGTTAGCTCCTTTTCAGAATTTTTTAGCAACAAATATTTAAATTCATAGAATGATGTTTATACTTATCATACATACTTGATTTACCTATACCAGATTTTTTTTTTTTTTACAAATAATAGTAAAATTTATTGGTAAAAAGAGCAACTTTTTTCTCAGAAATATTATCGATATCTGGTCAAAAAGGGCAAATTCTAGGTAGCCCTTTGTATGGTGGCGATATTGAATTGATTGGAAAAAATATAGTGAGATTTAATGTAACCTACACACAAAGTTTCATGAAAATTGGAGAATCTTGCTTCCAAGTTTGCCTGGTTTTTAAGTAGACATTGATGTTCTTAATAAACTAGAAATATGTCCATAGGACATGAATGCTCTGCCCAGGGTTCACTAGTAATGCAACATTAAAATATGTATTTAAAAATAAATTAAAAAGAACAATAGTTGCCTTTCCAAGGCCAACTCTGGAATTCCTCCTTTTTGTTCCCTTTTACAACATATTTGCTATATACCAAAATTGGCTAAAATTGGTCCATTGTTTCAGAAAAGAAGCTGAAAATGTTAAAAAGCTTACATGCAAAATGCACAACATATAGATGCTTAAGTGGCTCTGGTGACCTAAAAATCATAAAAGTTAATTTCTTATCTAGATTTGCAATGAATTTGGTTTACGTGTGAATATAATCCGCTGTAATTTGTGTTCACAAGACAGATTTCCTGTACACTCCTAATTAACTGTTACAATTGATCATAAAGTCTTCACAACAATTCATAACAATTAGCCTTTTTGACATTTAAGTTTTATTTGAACAATGGACAGTCTATCCTTCTAGTCTGATTTTCCACCAAGATATAGATTAAAACCTACCGTAATTGGAATATATACAAAATTAATGCTTCAATACATGTAAGAATGTTACAGAGATATGAAACCTCAGTTTTGTAAGATATAGCTTAAAAATTTCTCTATTGCCATGATAGACAGTTATATCCTTTAATGAAATATATGATGGACATTTATATCCTTTAATGAAATATTGGCAAGACAATTTATATGCATCCATCATGACTGTACAGATCAAGTGTGATAAAGATTTATTTTTACTGGCTGTCAAGCTGTTACATCTATTAAACAAGAGGTCCATAGGCATCAATGCTCACCTGAGTAAATAAGGCCCTACTGTTCTTCAGCAGATTTTTTCTACATTATATTCCTACATAAACTTTGACAATCTGTTGTGATCCCACCCTACCCTCAGGAATCATCTTTTGAACAAACTTTAATCTACACTACCTGAGGATGCTTTCATATCAATATGACTAATCATGGTTTTGCTGTTCTTGAAAAGATTTTTAAACTATATATTATTGTGTAAAACCTTGAACCCCATTGTGGCCCCATCCTACCCCTTGGGGTCATGATTTGAACAAACTGAAATTTACACTACCTGAGGTTACTTCCATATCAGTATGATTTATCATGGCTTCTTCAGAAGATTTTTAAAGATTTTTAAAAGATTATCTGTCCCGTTAACACATGTTATAGGAATACATCGTGTTAACACATTTTATAGGACCATATCATCCTTACTTACCTCACTCTTCATCATGAGATCATGTTTGCCTTTGCTGGACAAATTCTGGTTATCAGTGTCCATTTCTGTGTCACTTTCATCACTAGATTCATCTTCTAGCTCCCTGTAATGGAATAATGAACTACTCACACTATCATGTATCTTTGTATGAAGTTTGATTAACAAGAAGTCTCTGATAAGACTGTAGCTCCACTAGTTTTTACTTAACAAAGGTAGAGAAAAGAAGCTCTTGGACTTGAAACTATGGCAACAGCAATAAATAAAATATTGATCATTGGTTTCTGAGTAAAGTTTAATTGCAATTGGACAAATCTGTAGGAGTAGAAACATTTTGAAAGAATTTCACATTTCACAAATTTCTATTTTTCATAACCATGAAAACAGCATTCATCAAAATTAAAAAGTACTATAGAGAATTTATGTATTTTAGTGTAATTTTCTTGAGTACCAAGTTAGATTTAAATCCAACTAAAGGTGTAGGAGGAGTAGCATTTTGAAAGAATTTCACAGAAATTCTTATTCTTAGTAACCCCGGCAACACAGTTCATAGAAATAAAAAAAAACAATGCATAGAATAATGTATCTTAGTGCAGTGTACTTGTGTACCAAGTTATACTGAAATCGGACCAAAACTGTAGGAGGAGTAGTGTTTTAAAAGAATTTCAGAAATTTCTATTTTTTAGTAACTATGGCAACACCAATATTGAAATTGGACCAACATTGTAGGAGGAGTAGCATTTGGAGAAATTGCTAGCAGACAGATAGATGGATGATGGACACCTTACTAATCACATGAGCTCTTCTGATCTCTAACCAGTCGCACTAAAAATTGAGAAAAGTGAAGTTCAATATCAAAGACAAGAGGCCCAGGGGCCACATCGCTCACCTGAGCACTTTGGCTAGGAAAAAGCAGAAATCACTTCAATCTTGAAAGGTTGAAAAGTTTAAATATAAAAGTGGTTGGGGGGGGGGGGGGGTGTCAGGAATTGAACAAATTTGAATCTACATTATCTGAGGATGCTTCCATTTAAATATGACCAATCATGGCTTTGCTGTTCTTGAGTAGAAGATTTTTAAAGATTTAACCTATGTATTCCTATGTAAAACATTGTGGCCCCACCCGATCCCCAGGGGTCATGTTTGAACAAACTTGAATGTACACTATCTAAGAATGCTTCCATATAAATATGACCAATCATGGCTTTGCTGTTCTTGAGAAGAAGATTTTTACTATGTGTTCCTATGTAAAACTTTGATCGCCCATTGTGGCCCCACCCAACCCCCGGGGTCATGATTTGAACAAATTTGAATGTACACTATCTGAGGATGCTACCATATAAATATGACCAATCATAGCTTTGCTGTTCTTGAGAAGAAGATTTTTACTATGTGTTCCTATGTAAAACTTTGATCGCCCATTGTGGCCCCACCCGACCCCCGGGGGTCATGAGTTGAATAAATTTGAATGTACACTATCTGAGGATGCTTCCATGTAAATATGACCAATCATGGCTTTGCTGTTCTTGAGAAGAAAATTTTAAAGATTTTTCCTATATATTCCTATGTAAAACTTTGATCGCCCATTGTGGTCCCACCCGACCCCCGGGGGTCATGATTTGAACAAATTTGAATCTACACTACCTGAGGATGCTTCCATGTAAATATGACCAATTATGGCTTTGATGTTCTTGAGAAGAAGATGTTTAAAGATTTTTCCTATATATTCCTATGTAAAACTTTGATCGCCCATTGTGGCCCCACCCTACCCCCGGGGGTCATGATTTGAACAAACTTGAATGTACACTATCTGAGGATGCTACCATATAAATATGACCAATCATAGCTTTGCTGTTCTTGAGAAGAAGATTTTGAAAGATTTTTCCTGTATATTTCCTATGTAAAACTTTGATCGCCCATTGCGGCCCCACCCTAGCCCCGGGGGTCATGATTTGAACAAACTTGAATCTACACTACCTGAGGATGCTTCCACATAAGTTTCATGTTTTCAAGCACAGTGGTTCTTGAGAAGAAGATTTTTTAATGATGCCATTAATTTTTCACGAATTCTTAATTATCTCCCCTTGGAAGAGGGCGTGGCCCTTCATTTGAACAAACTTGAATCCCCTTTACCCAAGGATACTTTGTGGCAAGTTTGGTTGAAATTGGCCCAGTGGTTCTTGAGAAGAAGTTGAAAATGTGAAAAGTTTACAGACGGACAGACAGACGGACAGACGGACTACAGACAAAATGTGATCAGAAAAGCTCACTTGAGCCTTCGGCTCAGGTGAGCTAAAAAGGTAAATGTAAAAAATTATAATGTGGTTCAAATTAATGCTCTCACATTGTACTGATGTATGAAGTTTGATGAAAATATTGAACAGTTTCTTTGAAACTAAAGTAAATGCAAGGAATAATGACGTCAAGGTCTAGAGAAGTGCAAGGTCAGAAATTCTGAAACAGTTGAATAGATCTCATCAATTTGTACTTTGATGTCTGAATAATGAAGATTTTAAATATTTTGTCTACATATTCCCATGTAAAACTTTGACCCCCTACTTTTATTAAATGTTCTACCCTTTGTCAGGAGCTTTGTCCTTCATTTCATCAAACTTGATTCTACTTTTGCCTTTAGCTCAGATGACCAAAACTTGACTTATTTCAATTCTTCATATGAAACAAAGCTTATCAATGACTCTATTTCCATGAATACACTTAATTCTGAAAGAAATACATATCAAACTAGTAGACTAATTGTTCTCGAACAATTAGAGGTCTTTCCACCTTCTTCGAATTTCATATATTTTTCATATTTAACTCTCTAAAGTTAATTTTTATTCAAATAGAATCCATAAATGGCTTGAAAGTTAGAAAAAATGAAAATTTTAAAAATTGTGAGATGACCTTGACCTTTGACCTTGAACAAATATTCAAGGTCAAAGGTCAAGGGTCACATTGCACTTGACCCCATGCTTCTACGACTTTTAGTTTTAAAGTTATTAGGTTTAATAGTAAGCGCAAAGACATTAAAGGGCGATAACTCATATAAGGGGTCATCGGATACTTTCGCACTGAATAGATTGAAGTTGTGTCTAAAGACCCTGAAGACATTAGTGAAGGTTTTGTGCCTCTATGGTTTACGGTTTCGGAGGAGTAGCGATAACAAGGTTTTCAATAAAAGGGGCAATAACTTTTAAAGGGGTAAATCTTAGGGGACAAGTATGAAATCTTTGAAATAGTTTTAAGAGGACATATTAATGATGCAAAGATATTTAGTATATGTTGAAAGACAAAAGAGCTATAAAAAGAGCTTAATTTCTCATATATTGAATGACCTTGACCTTTGACCTTTGCATATATTTTAAGGTCAAAGGTCAATGAATCTTATGCAGTTGGTCCCATGTCTCTACGACTTATCGTTTTGAAAATTTTTAATTATTCGTAAACATCAAAAACTTTCAGGGGCAATAACTCATAAAAGGGGTTGACGAATACTTTCGCAATGAAAAGATTGAAGAGTCCCCTCAATTAGTCGAAGACATTGGTGAAGATTCCGTACCTCTACGGTTTACGGTTTTAAAGGAGTAGCGATAACAAGCTATTCTTGCAAAAGGGGCAATAACTTCGTAAGAGGTCATAGGTCAAACACGGGGGGTCGTTTTTCGGAATAACTTTTGATATCCAGTATCATGAACTATAAAGTTTTTCGATAAGTCTTGCGGTTTCAAAAGTCCGGGAAGAAAAAGAAGAAGAAGAATAATAATAATAACTAGTAGACTAATTGTTCTCGAACAATTAGAGGCCTTTCCACCTTCTTTAAATTTCATATATTTTTCATATTTAACTCTCTATTGTTTATTTTTATACAAAAGAAACAAGAAATGGCTTGAGAGATGGAAAAAATGAAATTTAAAAAAAAAATTAAATGACCTTGACCTTTGACCTTGAACAATTATTTAAGTTCATAAGTCAAGGGTCACATTGCACTTGACCCCATGCTTCTACGACTTTTAGTTTCAAAGTTATAAGGTTGAATAGTAAGAGCAAAGATGTTAAAGGGCAATAACTCATATAAGGGGTCATCGGATCCTTTCGCACTGAATAGATTGAAGTTGTGTCTAAAGGCCCTGAAGACATTAGTGAAGGTTTCGTGTCTCTGCGGTTTACGGTTTCGGAGTAGTAGCGATAACAAGGTTTTCAATGAAAGGGGCAATAACTTTTAAAAAGGTAAATCTTAGGGGACAAGTATGAAATCTTTGAAATAGTTTGAAGAGTACATATTAAAGATGCAAAGAGATTTAGTATATAATGAAAGACAAAAGAGATATAAAAAGAGCTTAATTTCTCAAATTTTGAATGACCTTGACCTTTGACCTTGAAAAAAATTTCAAGATCTGAGGTCAAAGAATCTAATGCAGTTGGTTCCATGTCTCTACGACTTATCGTTTTGAAAAATTTTCATTATTTGTAAACTTCAAAAACTTTCAGGGGCAATAACTCATTGAAGGGGTCGACAAATCATTTCGCAATGAATAGATTGAAAAGTCCTCTCAAGTAGTCAAAGACATTGGTGAAGGTTCTGTATCTCTACGATTTACGGTTTCGAAGGAGTAGCGATAACAAGCTATTCTTGCGAAAGGGGCAATAACTTTGTAAGAGGTCATAGGTCAAACACGTTGGGTCGTTTTTCGGAATAACTTTTAATATCCAGTATCATGAACAATAAAGTTTTTCGATAAGTCTTGTGGTTTCAAAAGTCCGGGAAGAAAAAGAATAATAATAATAATAATAATAATAAACATAAGCATTTCAAGAGGTCTTTCCACAGAAAGGTGGAAAGACCTAACTAGTAGACTAATTGTTCTCGAACAATTAGAGGTCTTTCCACCTTCTTTAAATTTCATATATTTTTCATATTTTACTCTCTGAAGTTAATTTTTATACAAAAAGAATCCATAAATGGCTTGAAAGATAGAAAAAACGAAAATTAAAAAATTTTGAGATGACCTTGACCTATGACCTTGAACAAATATTCAAGGTCAAAGGTCAAGGGTCACATTGCACTTGACCCCATGCTTCTATGACTTTTACTTTTAAAGTTATAAG